CGAGGGTCCCCGTCCTTCTTAGCCCGGCTTGAGCCAGGGCGTCCTGGCGTCGAGGGGAGGAGCGCTGGCCGCGCCAGGGCGGAGTGCCGTTGGGGCGGTTAACGGTAACGCCGCGAGCCGCTTGCCTCAGCCGCGCGCGAGCGGAGCCGTGATAATCGCACAGGCCCCGTCACCCCGGCCGCTGCTTGGAAGTGAGAGAGGGGTGAGAGCAGATGAAATCAATGCAGCGGGACCCCACTGATGAGGGCAGAAGGGGGCACTCCGCACCTCTGGTCCAGACCTCCAGCAGGGTCAGCTAGGGCAGGTTGCCCCCCTCAGGTCCAGGCAGGCGTTGAATATCTTTGAAGACAGAGACTCCACAGCCTCTCTGGGCAACGTGCCCCAATGTTCAACCACCCCTCACCTTAGTAAGGTGTTTCCATACGTTCAGATGGGATTTCCTGTATTTCAGTTTGTGAGCATCTTGTCCTAGGCACCGCAGAGAAGACTCTGGCTCGGTCGTCTTTACTCTCCCACCAGATAGTTATACTCACTGATCACCGCACACCTCCAAGTTAAGCGATCCCAGCTCTCTCACCTTCTCCTTGTATGCAAGATGGTTCAATCCCTTCGTCATCTTCACAACTCTTCGTCATCTTCATCGCGCTCAAGGGCTGTAATGAGTGACATAATCACTTCACTTTTTTTAATCCAGTACTAGGCAACAGTAAGTCTTTGCGCTTTGTCTCAGACGCATATCCAACACAGCCACTGGCCTGCTGCAATACCTACCCTGAACCATTATAGTGAGCTCTCGCTAGTGCTCTGACACTTACTGTTTATCATTAGTATTCTCTCTGTATGTTTTATATTAATTTTGTCTTGTTAGACTTGAATGCAGGTCACATGCAAAGTAGGGCGTCAATGCAAGCACAGTTCTTCATCTCCTCTTTCCTTCCTCTCAAGGCAGGACTGTGACCTCAGGCAGTGCTATCCCCTTGCAGCAGCAGTCATAAAAGCTATAGACCCTATCGGCTTCATAACAAAAATAGGAAAACTTGTGTTTATGCATCATCATGATCAGAAAAGTGAATAAGCTCAATGAAAAGTCAGGAACCTCCCTTTTCCTACTAATTTCTCTGCTGTTGAAAAGGCAGAATGACTCAGGCTTTTTGTTCACGTTTCTTAGCCTTACAAATGATTTAGCATTCAAATTCTCTCTAAATAGGGAAGCTTCATATAGTCGCTACCACATTTCCAACACATCGCCTGCACTTTTGTCTTTTAAGGACGCATTTTACAGCTGCTTTTTATGCCGAATGCCCCAGAGGCCGAACAAAAACAAACCATGCTTAGACTACTGAAACAAAATTGTAGCATTTTTTCTAGGTTCTTAATCTAGTTAGTTTCTAACACTTAGCAGCAAAAATATAGAATTGATGATTATTCAGTTAATAGCAACACGGTTGAGATGGCAACAGAAGGAAAGTAGTGTTCTTTCCTGATGAGAAGGGGAACTCTGCAGGTGCACAAACCCCAAGTGTAGATAAGGGTGTTGCAATAGCTTTCTTCATTCCTCCTGTCATTTCATTTTCTGTCTCTTTACGCACATCCGTAATGTCTCTTTTCCTTGCAGAGCCAACAATGGGAATTTCAAAAAGGCAAAGGAATTCAGCTGCAGAAAGAGAAGAGGCAATGCACTGCGCTCACACTGCAGCTGACCAGGGTGAGGATTGAACTTTATCTGCAGCAGGTGCCCTCTTACAGCTCAGCGTCTGGGGCTTCAGTCCAGGGTTTAGCAACACTCACTAGAGACTGCATTTGCAGTTAAAGCAGAGATTCTGCAGAAATTCATTCTACCAGTCCTTTGCACTTGCCAAATCATGTCTAGATGGCAGCAGCCTGGGATTTAGCAGTCATCTAAAAAGCAATAGCAAAGGAAAAAAACTCTTCACTGTAGCTTAGTTAGAATTGACAAAAAGAAAGCAATATTGAAAGGGAACGTTATTACAGTCAGAGCTAAGAGCCTTGCAGCTCTCCCAGATCTTCAGATGACTTAAATGGAAGGCAGAGGGACTTTCCTGCACCACTTATGACAGCTAGAACTTTATTTACAAGAATAGAAGTTTTTGTTTGCATTAGCATGTTAGTAAAAATGTTGTAACAAAACTGAAGCTTCAGCATACTTACTGGTTTTCCACACCACACTCTTAAAAAACTTCTCAAGATTGCAGATCTATGAAAAGGCTATCCTAATGAGCTTCCAGTGCTGTTTATAGCCAAATAGGCTTATAAATTGAAAGTTCGAAATGGTCAGAAATTGATTTCAATTTTATCTCAAACTATATTGAGTTCCATTATCTGTCATATTTTGAAAGAAGTAGTATTACTAGTGGAAAACATTTTATGCACCTTAAAAATCAAACTTAATATTTATATTAAACCCAAAACTAAAACATCCATGAATGGAGAACGACGTTTAAGACAACCCATCCGTGCAGGTTTGATTTCAGTCAGGTTAGTACAGATTAGATGCAAATCCACAGATATACATAGCACAGCAATAAATGTAATGAGCTATATTCACATCTTGTAGCTGTCTGTATTTTCTATTTTAGATGGAATTAATATTAAGTTGGGGTTACAGAAAACTATTAGGAAACTCCACACAGTGCAAGTGGAATAGCTTTCTGACGGATGCTCCTTGGCCACAGCAGCACTTGGAGGCTCTAGCTTCTTACATTTTAGCTTAGTTCAGTACTCACTCACATTCACTATTGAAAAATGCTCTCATTTCCAGTTTGAGTTTGTTCAACTTCTTTGTGTAAGCTTGTGGTACCTCCTTTCTTCGTTAGAGAGCAAGTCGTCTCTTACAATACTTGTTTAATTATAATTAATGGTCTTTGGATAAGGTGCATAGACTTGAACACTAGCTCTCAGAGTGATTTTTTCCTTTTGGTAACTCCTTCCAATTTTTTAATAAAGGTGGATGAAAAGAGTATGCATTATTCCAGCATCAGCCACACAAGAGGGAAAAATCACTTCTGTACTGATTCTAAGTATTCACTTTTTAAGTAAGGCATAGAGCTAATATAACTCTTTCGTAACATCCACAGTTTTGTCCTTTAGAACTTACTCAGAATCACACATTTCTAGCATACACTCCTTTTTCTTTGTGTGACCTTCATTCGATGTTTCTTTCTCCACCATCTGAATGTTCTACAGTACCTTTTAAAAATTAAAATAAATCAAGTAATATCGTGCCTATTTCAGCTTGCCACTGACAGCTGTTTAGAATTTGAGTCAGCTCTCTGACTGCACCTAACATGTGCTAATTTGGCATTTTAATGTGATTAATCTTCTTACCTGAACACAGACAGATATTACATATAACTTTCAGTTATTTTTATCAGTTATTTTTTATGAACCGAACTTGTCATCTAATTTAAAAATTGAATATAATTGTTAGAGAGTGCCTTAAATTATCCAGAATACGTAGAGTCCATGTTTTAATTCTTTTTCACATGGATCATGTGCCAGCCTTTCTACTGTTTTGCACAAGTGTGGCCAGCTACCTAGCCTGTTGCTATCCAGATCATCTCAACTAGTCCTTTTGTTAATGCGTTAGCATAGCATCACTTTTTTGATATTTTGATCACAGAATAGAATCTTTTCAGCCAGCATTTTTCACTCTAATTTATGAAGCATTTTTCCTCATTCCCAGCACAGTTCCATTTTCCAGGAGGAGTAGGGAAAAAAAAACTCAAAACATTTACAGTTCAGTCCTATATGCAAATAGGGGGAGGGAGGAGAAGACTTCATTCCGGTAAGTTGCATGTACTGTTTTTTAAATATCATGTTGCATATGAAGCAGCTTTATTCCAGCAAAACTACTCACAAGTCACAGGCATTATATCCTAGTTTATTTTACAGATTATGATCCAGTCATGCTTTAGCAAAATAATACGCAGTGCAGAGCACAGCATCACTAAGTAACGACACAGAAATGTGCCGTCACTGAAATTTGATAACCTACAGCATATTTTTTAAAGCCTTATCAGAAAGCCGCGTTCACTCTCTGTATTTGGTATGCCACGGCCACTGGGAGAAATCAAAAGTATGACTAACTGCCCTCAGCAACAGCTCTTCCAGGTGACGTATACTTTATTTTGCAGACTTACAAATAGACAAATGTATTTTTTTTTTTTACGGCACCAATTCTGCTGCACTGTGCAGAGGAGCAGTTCTGCAGTGCAATCTGAGGCAGTTGCGTTTTTCCAGGAGCTCTGTATCAAAAAGGAATCGTGGACCTTAAGTTCGGTTTTGCCTTCAGGCTTCAGCTCAGGCTCACAAGTACTCACAGACCCTTCCACTGAAATTCAAGTGTCCCCGAAGTTGTCTGTAAGGAACTGACTGCTGTGAAGCTGGAGGAGAGGAAGTCTTTCTGCTAGAAGTATCTCCGCATTTCCTAGCAAGGGCAGCTCTTTTTACCAGCTGGGCTCTTCTGTTCTCCTTTCACAGATCCATGTTCTTCACCTTTGATGGGAAGACACGCCTGGAATATTGATATTGGCTTGCCTTACAAATATTAACACAAAAGCTTAGATCATCACAAACTTTACTTCACCCAGCTCCCTGTTCAGTTCATATTCTCCCTGTTGCAGCTAAAGTTGCAATTCAAGCAGGCCTGAGCGCTATGCCTTCTCTCCTTGCAGGATAAA